GTATTGACCATACCAGAGAGATTACACTGAGTCCAGAATCCAGGTTGCCTTGCATCAGCACTTGCTAAGTTTTGCAATGAATCACAAAGAAGCTTTCACCAAAACTGAACTCCCAAGCATGAATAAATCAATTTACCATGTGCTACACAGTTTCAGGATTCCTAACTAGAGAACCACTACTTCAGTATTCAAGTAAGGCATAAAATATGCTTAAGCTCCACAAGGTCCCTATGGAGCCATGGAGCTCGTACAAGACAGCTCTGTATCTTGAGTTTGGAGGTCCACCAAGTTTACAGAAGATCAAATGTGAGTCCTGGCTTATTAGGATCTCTTCAGCTTGATCAGGGCTTTGGAGGTGATTGCTGGATTGCCAAAGACCATATGTTGTGTGTAAGACCTTGGGTCAATATGCCTGGCCACGCTCTTAGGAATACATTGTAACTTTGGGTAGTTTTAGTAACAATTAATACCTGTTAGTCCTAGAATACCAAGAAAATACCTTAAAATGGTAATACATATACACATAACACATCTCACCCATGAAGCCTTCCCTCATAGTTAAGTACTATTAAGTCGTATTAATCCTTGTAGGTATTTGAGGATTTATGTATGTTTCTTTGTACATTTAATATATAATAATATAATAAACTCTCATGCACCTAATACTGAGAATAAATATCTTCAAGGCCAAATTCATTTTCCTTCTAGAGGTAACAACAAACATGCATTTTATATCAGTAAATCCTTTGTTCTTTACAGTTTTGTCATTAGTATATGCACTGTATAACCGTAATATAAATTAATCCAGTCCCATTCTTCTGTGACTTCCTTTTTGCCCAACCTTAAATTTTTGCTATTCAATTTCATTTACATGTGTAAATACAATCAATTGTACTTTTCTCTTGTGCATCATTCCATCTTATAAAGGTGCTACACCTTATTTTTTTGTTTCACTACTAATAAGTATTTGGCTTGCGTCTTGATTTCTGTTATTACAAACAATATTGCTATGAATATTCTTCATGTTTATTTTGGTCCATATGCAGAGCTTCTCTAGGGAATAGTCTTGGGGGGAGGAACCGCTGCTTTGTAGGACTTGTCATAGTCAAGGTCACTGAACTGCATCAAGTGATTTTCCAAAACAGTCGTATTCCAGGTGTGTGAGAGAGCCCACTGCCCTACATCCCAGATAATGCTTGGTATTGTCAGACTTTCTCATTGGAGCCAACTTGGTATGAAAAAGAATACCATTGTGATTTTAATTTGCATTCCTTGATTATTAAGATGAAATATATTTTCATATGTTCAGTAACCAAGTATTATATCTAACCTGTGAAATATTTATTTCATTGGTGCTTATTTTTAATATTTCATAAGTCATCTTTATATATTTGCTTCTATATCTGTGTCAATTAAGCTATCTAAAACATTCAAATCTGATTTCTTTTAATGAGAATAATAATCTATGTTCTGTAAAGCCTTGTAAAGCCTTATAAAAATTGGCCTAGTTATGAAAGTTTTAAGTAACAAATGTTTTTATTGTCTTTACTCTGATTTCTAAAGATCCAAAATAGACCTTGTGTCAAATAAATAACAATTTGGTTAATATCAAATGGAAAATCAAGGGGGGGAATTTATGAGCTTTATTCACATTACTATTTATAGACTATGATAAGTAAATTTTATTTCTCAATAGTTTTTTACAGCATTAAATTGGGGGGGGGGAAGTAGTTGAAAACAACCACTCCTCTGTAGTCACTTCTATTACGTTTCTCAGAATCATTACCCACTAGGCCTTATTTGCCCTCACTTTGGCTCAAGGGAATCTGAGAAAAAAATAAGATGTGCCAGCAACGGAATACAATATGGATGATCTTGAAATCAACCTAGTAATCTTCCAACTAAACATTTGCAAACCACAAAGCAATGGAGGTTTTTCCTGGATGTTTTTCCTCAATGGAGCACACACATGCAAGACACTGGATGTACCAGATACTGGGAAGAAAGGTTGCTGTGTCCCAGAATCTGGTTCCCAGAAGTGACAATTAAATTACAAATATAAGTATGGCAAAGAATAACAGTGCACAAATGCAGTGGAAAGCTGTAAGGGTCCTAATTGCAGTACTAAAATTGAAGATGATACAGGATCAAAGAAAGAAACACACGCTCCTGGCCTCACCTCAAGACTGTTGGCTCTGCATTTTCCTTTTTTTTTTGCCCACCACCATTCACCACCAGGAGCAATAGGTTAGGTGCAAGATGGTCTTTGTCAAGTTCCCCCAGTACTCCAGAAGGTCTGTTATACAGAAGGATCCTTTCAGCTCTCTGAGATGGAAGTACAGTGCAGAGTCCCTTCCCCCTGTGGCAGAGACTTTCACTTTCATCCAGCCAAGGGGTCCAGCACTCTGGCTTTAGGGAAAATGGACCCATAAGCTCACCAAGAAAAAGCAGAGCCACATCCTGGGCCACACAGTGAATCAGTGTCTGGCTATTTCCTCAGCAAGTGCCCATTTTGGTGTTCTTTTTAACTACTAGTATATATTTAAATACTTTTTTTTTTTTTGGTACCAGGGATCAAACTTGGTACCTTGCAGTTGCGAGGCAGGAGGCAGAACCACTGAGCTAAATCCCTGGCCCCTACTAGTATATACTGAGGTCATGTATTAATAAGACCCTCCTGAAATTTGAGCTAGAGAGTGAGTCTAAGATGATATTTGGGTTCAAATCCAAAACAACCCTATAATTTCATCTGTTTGGTGATCATTTATTCAAGAGTTTCTCCGTTGGGGAAGATATTAACCCCATAAGTGGTAATGTCAGAAGACATTTTTTGTTGTTATGATGGGTAACAGTAGGGAGATGCTAACATCATCCAGTAGTGTAGAGGCCAAGGATGATGCTAAACATTCTACAGTGCACAGGACAGCCCCCTACAACAAAGAATTGACCAGCAAAGAATTAGTGTGAAGGTTGAGAAACCTTGCTGCACTCTTCACTGGCCAGGCTAGGAAAAGCATAGATCTTTCTTGATGTGACTCCCAGCTCCACGGTCCTCCAGGTGGAGGTGGCTTCTTTGACGTCCTGTTAAACCAGTCCCTGTGGTTGCACCTGGGCACATAATTAGAGGGATCTAAGGTCCTGCCTGTGTCTGTGTTGGGAACTCTCTTCCCACAGAGGACGCAGCTCAGGATCTAGATTCTCATTCACATGGTACGCATGAAACACATCTGACCCCATCTAGTCCCCCAGGGAACAAACTGATAGCTGACATGGATAATGACCAGCTTCTATAAATTCCATTATGCCATCATTTTTTTTCATTAAGCAACACTAATACCATCTTCTGTTAGTCAAACTTTATTCAGTCCACACATAAGGATTGTGTTCCCAGCCAGCCAAGTAAACAGGGCCCACCCTAGTTGGATGATAATCCGCTGAGGCTGGAGCACTGAGACAACACTTGCAGCAGCTTTTCTTCGGGTGGGAGCCTGTGACAGTGCAGGCCTCCCTCCAGGCACTCTAATTTCACAAGTCAGGGTGGCACCACCGGTTTATATTGTTGTAAGCACTGGAGGAGACTCTGAGACAGATATCCATGGTACCAAACTTCAAGAAACACTAGCAGAAATCATGAAGCCTACCCACTCTGATCCCAACCTTCAAAATCTAATGTAATTTTTGATATCCATGAAAAAAATCATTGAACTATTAGTTTTCTCAAGTTTCCCATTTTAAAACTGAAGAAGGGTAAAGCCCTGATACCTGCTCAAGCACAGACGGTGAGAGAGCACAACGACCTTATGTAAATAGGAGCAGAACATTTGCGAAGGAACACAGCGATAAAAGTTTACCTTAAAAATGAATTTTTATGACACAGAATGATCATTAGCCAAGTACATTTGTATCAGTGATTAGGATAAAAAGTGCTTGCTTGTAAGAACATTACCTGTGGTCTGAAGTGACCTCAGCACACGATGGTTCCAGCTTGATTAGAGAATGTCAGTCCTCGTAGGACACCAAGATAAGCGGCTTCTCTGATTGCTCTCAGTTTTCTTTGAAATCTTTTCTCAACCTACATCAACACTCCCCATTTGTGACTTTTCAACAAACCCCTTACTTTAGTAGCATACCAACCATAATTGGAAATCTAAGCCTAAAACTCACTCCAAATAAAACTGTTCCAAACTGTTACAAACATCTTAACACTTATCTATGGCTAAAATATATATATGTGTGTATGTATGTTTTGGTCCATTGCTCTACCTTAAATTACTGTGGTCACTGTAATAACACCAGAAATCTACATCAAAATCACGGTAACACAAAAAATAAATTAAAATGAACAAATTGCCATCATAATTAGAGGGAAAGGATATGACTTAAAGGCCAGAATATCTCAAAATTACCCTTTAAGGTAACTAACTGAAAATAGATCTCTTTTTTAACTCTTCTGAGTTCCCTCCTGCTCTCTTCCTTTAAAGTTGTTTTTATACCTCCATTATCTCACATTTCTGTCTTGTTCCCTTTATCTACTTTTTGCTTCTAGCCCCACCTTGGTCCCCTGGGATCAGAAAACTGGACACCATTGAGTTTACTCACAGATTTAGCACTTGAAAACATTCCAGTCTTTGGGCTCCTATTGAAACCCATTCAAACTACAGATGAGTTTCTAAACCACAGGGAAATGACTAGAGTCTACAAAGCAGCGAAAAACTCAATTTTGTGTGCGATAAGCATTGAACACCAGCCAAAGTATCACATATCTGGTGTACCGAGACCCCTTTCCACTGCAATCTCTTAATGAAAAAGATCCCCTCGCACCATTTTAGAATCAATGTTATCAAGTTTGAATGCATATTTTCTCCCAAGCTCAGATTTGCTGTAAGACCCATTTTTAAACATTTATGCTCCCCACAGACCAACATGCAAATGGTGGGTGCTCAAGTATAAGTTAAGAACCAGAACCGCAGAGGCCATGAAAAGACAGACCCAGACTGTACCTATTTTCGCAGCCTCTGCTTTCAGGTTGAAATCCCAGTTCCTGGGCAGCTTTAGAGACATTTTGCTTCTGACTTTGGTGAGTAGCTGGAGAAGCGGCCTGTCTGTCACAAACTGTTCCTTTCTTGCGCTCTTGATCTCCCCCTTTGGTTTTTGCCTGTTTCTCCTGTCCTTGCTTCAAACGCAGTCTTAGGTTTGAGGTGTGTCTTCCTTTCAGATGAAAAGTCCACCATCAGTCACTTGGGGATGGCACCCAAGATCTCCTTGCCCCACACCCACAGTCCCCCAGGAGGTGGCACCCACTTCTCTTACTTTCAGTTTTACCAGAAATATCCCAGTTGACACTGCGTCATGGGAAGCAGAGCTCCTGTTCAAAAGAATCTCAGGCCTCATGAGGCAAAGTTGTGATAAACAACTGCTGCCTCTCGACTTTTTTTTTTTTTTTTTTT